AAACCACTCAAAAATATGCTTAAAAAAAACGTAAAATTTTTGTGGGGAGAAAACGAACAACAAGCATTTAAAGAAATAAAAACAGCATTTGACGAAGCACCCACATTATATATAGTAAATAAAAAACTAGGATTCGGAATCGACGTAGACGCGTCAAAAACAGGATTAGGAGCTAGATTATACCAATACGACCATAAAAACACCAACGCGAAATACACAATAGCGTACGCAAGCCGAAGTCTTAAAGCAGCCGAACGTAATTATACGATCACCGAATTAGAATGCTTAGCATTAGTGTTTGCCCTTAAAAAATGGCATGTAATGCTCATGGGAAGAAAAATAAAAGTAAATACGGATCACAGGGCAATACAGTTCGTAGGATCATGCGCGACAGCAAGCGAAAGAATAGCACGTTGGATGTCATTTCTCATGGAATTTGACTTAGAAATAAATCATATTCCAGGAAAAGAAAATATAATGGCAGACACGCTATCAAGACAATTTGCAGATAACGCTAACCGAAATACACGAGAAATTGAATTCCAAATATGTTCAATACGCGAAACAGAAATAGAACACAATTCCAAAAAATGGATCAATATGATCAAAAATGCGCAAGACAATAACGCGGAATTACAAAATAAGATCGCACAATATAGTCTAATGAAATCGCCGGGATACATGGCCGTCACCACTGGAGAAGCTGTCCAGATCATAGAATGCATCCCTGTAGAAGTCACCGTACGTCCAACCAAAGAATGTTATAACGAGTTACCCGTAACCGTCAGAAACGCTTCTTACTTTCGTGAGAAAGTACCCAAATCAAGAATAGTCACAAAAATCGAGAACGAGCGAGAATGTTCTCAAGAATTACCAACGTTATACCGGATAGAGGACACTTGGGTACAGTTTACGCCAAAAGCACAAGACAGTTGTCACCTCAACAACTACGACCCATGGCATCTCTTACCTGGAATTATTTAACACCCGGACCATTAGCTGTCAGTGGAATCTATACGCAGCAAGACATAGAAAAATTGAGGGATCACATTATGTTTCCCGCAGAGAAACCGGCACTGCTCAACGTCGTCGCCCGTGGGCTCATCGGACATCCAGTTAACACCGATTCCGTCTCGTTATACAAACTACTAGACGAAGAATCGCTCAACAAAATCGTAGACAATACCGCGGCAAAAATATGGAAAGGATTCATGAGTTTTAGATCAGCCACGGCCGGTGTCGTTGGAGTATTTATGATCGTTCGTATTGCTAAATTGGCAATTGACACCATCATCCATGGATACGCACTACATACCGTATATGGATGTAGTCTACATCTAATAGGAGCATTATGGAACTCTCTAACTAATCTCTTGCTTCACCTCAGCCTCAAGAATATGAACGAAAAGGAAGAAAAGAACAAATATCCAGAAGACGCCACACCTCTCGCCACCATCTCAGACACACCCCCTGCACTGCCAAAAGAACCGCCAGTGATAAGTCAGCCACAACTTCAAGTTTATAACACCAGACGACCTGGAGAAATAGAATCCACAAATATCACTATCCCTCAGACGTATAACGACTTATAACAGCATCTCTATAGCCTAGAACAAAACCCTAAGTCAACGTCGGGTTTTATTCTCAAATAGGAGGTGTCACGTCCGGCCGTATAAATTTTTTCGTTTACTCCAAGTTCCTTAAACGCTATTTGAAAAGCGCGCCAAAGCCGGCCATAACGCTTAACTCCGCCTAGAAACTAAGCGTGGCGCTTCGTAGCGCCTAAGGATCTCCCACCACGGTGAGAGCCCCTACTCCGGAGAGTTCCCCCTCTCCAGACCGCCGCAGGCCCGAGCCGCCGAAACGAAGGACCTCAGAGCAGTCCCGAATTTCGGCAGTTCTCTGCGCGACACCGAACAGTGCAATCGCACTTCTAAATTCTAACTCTAAGTCCAAATTCTAAATCCTAACTCTAATTCAAAAATTCTAACTCTAAGTATAATATCCTAACTCTAAAATCTAAATTCTAAGTCTAAGTCTAAATTCTAATTCTAAGTTCTAGTTTCGATTCCTGTACTACTATACGAATAAATCAGTGTATTCATGTGTGAAAACCAGTGTTCAGTACTCTTCAAAACTTCCACTCCCGTGATAAAACACGATAGCGCTTAAATCTGTCATACGGCGTTTGAATTCAGAACAATTCAAAACTGTGTCTGGAGCGGACCACCGCTCATCACAGTTAGAATTAACATTCTCAGCAATTGCCAAAATAAGGAACTGATAGTGAGGTCCGCCGCATATCAACCTTCCTTATTTGAGTAATTATTCAGAGGATGCATCAAATTCAATATGCCTAAGACCCGACGCGCAGGAAGAAAGAATCAATTACGAAAACTAAACCGACTTTATCGTGAATCAGCGACCGAGGAATATTCTCAATTCCTCGGAGTGGAATATCAGGCCGATCCTGAATACGAGAACATTTTCAACATTAAAAATAATAACAACGACGAACTCCTACCGTGAAGGTGCATACCAATAACTTTCCGACCACGACGCCTGCCGCCGCCAAACATCCCAGTGAACGACCCTCGCCGTACGCACTACCTCCAAGTACGAGCCGACACAATCAAGAAAGTGCTACTAAAGGTAAGTGAAATTCACGTTAACCTAAGGAATCGCGCGTGTTAGTAAATTCAGAGACGCTTCTACCACGTGGAAGAGAACATTCTAGAAAAATCTCCGACGCATTTTTCCTCTTTTCCATCGTCACTGCGGAAGCTATAAAAAAAGGGTCGGGCTATAAAACTAGGGTCGACCACCACACGCGGTGCAACCCTCGGAATTCTAACACGGAAAAACGCAAATAGTTCAATCTCTTAAAAATCTTTGTGTCTCAAGAAATAACTTCGTAAATCCGTACAACAAAGTAGTCATTTAAACAATAATCAATTGAGAACACTCGATTTACCGACGTTACCGACAATATACCGACATACGTTCTTTCACCGACGTTACCGACAATATACCGACATACGTTCTTTTACCGACATTACCGACAATTTACCGACATACGTTCTTTTACCGACATTACCGACGATATACCGACATACGTTCTTATACCGACATTACCAACAATATACCGACGTACGTTCTTTTACCAACTGGTTATCGACACCTTACTGGCACCTTACCAGTGTTTTACTGAGCAATTACCAACGGTTTTACCGACGACTACTGACTTCTCGATTACTGCCGGGTTCACCGAAGATCTACGAGCGAATGACGCATTATCAATTCGATTACGCAACAAGCACAAATGTGCCCACTCACCCTTAGAGGTATAACCCCTCCTCCAGAAGTTAATCTCTTTGTACCGTTTGAACCCTTATTCTATTGCCAAATTGGTATCGGGTACATCCACTTCGAGACTAAGGCAGCCCTCTGCATTTCATGCTACTCCACCTTACCTAGAGTCTCGAAACTACTTTGGACAAAGATTCGGAAGCATACTTTAATCATAGGCGGAACACCCACTGGAATAAATTGCGGGGTCTGCAACTTCCGACTTACCCTCACGCGAATTGGTGATTTGTGCGAGCTTTGCCAGTCTACGTACGAAGATTACTTACGCAACCCCAACGACGTTTCGCATAGAGCAATCGACGAAGCTATCTTTATTACAGTAGAGTCACAGGTAGGTCCCACGCAATAATCCGATCACCTCAGTTCCAGCGCGAATAACCTCAGATCGCGGGTATCCCCGGGAAGAATCGCATAGATTCGCGTACCCGTAATAGCGATCGTGTCTCGTGAAAAAAGCCGAGCTCTGCATTCAAATTTTCGCAGCCGCGACCCCACGAGACGTAACAAAATTTGGTGACAGCGGTGGGATACGAGTTAATATTTGCGATGGAAACACGAAGGAAGTCAGGTACGAAAAAGCTCACTGAAGTAGAAATAGACGAACTTCGCGCTCAATTGCATGCCAAGGAAGCACGGTTACGCGAACAATCCGAGATGCTTCAACAGCAGAAAGAAACGTTCGAACGCGAAAAACGGGCTTCGGAAGAAGACCTCGAAATCATCCGCAGTAACCTCGTGAGTAAGGAAACGGAAGTGGAAAAACGTTTGAACTCCATCACAATGGTAGCAACCAAAAAACCCGACTTAAGCGATCATATGCTCCAAGAAATCGAACGATTACGCCAGGAGATAAACTCCATGCGCGGGAACAATACGATACCTACGCAATATATTCCCAGCACCGCGGGACGCTTTTTCGACGAACAGGCGTCTCCCGCATTCCAACACGGAACCAATTATGATAGTCCAAGGGTGTCTTTCAGGGAAGCACTTGAGACTATCCCGCCATTCGACGGTCGAAATATCTTCTTCTCTCAATTCATACGAGCATGTAGACGCGCTAAAGAAATATTCCCACCATCGTCCGAGCGAAACCTAACCCGCCTACTTCTTACTAAGTTACGCGGGCGAGCTATATGCGCCGTAGAAGACGAAGAGTGCGAAACGATAACTCAACTTGCCGACCTCCTGAATGGAGCCTTCGGATCCCCGAAAACCATCGATCAGTATCGCGGGGAGCTAAGCACAATTTACCTTAAACCAAACGAGCATATCCTTGATTTCATAAGCCGCGTAAAAGACTTGCGATCTTCTATAACAGACGCGGAACGCCGAGCGCAAGGAATGCTATCCGCCGGATCAGTAAACGAAATCGACGCCTTAACAGCACGATCTTTCTGCGAGGGCTTGCCACTCGCCTATTGGATACAATTGAGACAAGAACACTATCGCGACCCGTTTCAAGAATTTTATATATGATGCTGATTACTTAAATACTCATAATACTTTTTATATTTTTACTTAATTAACTAATAAAATAAATTCTAAGAGATAGATTAAATGATTTTATTCTAAGGCAATTTAAATTGCATAAATATTGTACTATATTAATAGTTTTATTTTTCAGCTGTGAAACCTAAACTGGTATCAATAAAATTAATTAAGTCTCCCCAGACTTCTGTTATAACTGCTACAACAAACTCGACACAGTTCCTTGCGACCGGCAGCGGATCGCAGTCCAGACGAAGCATTTGACGGTTCAGAGAGGCCAGCCACAGAAACAACATCCCAGGACGTAGCCAACAGCAACGTAGCAGCACAGCAGCAGGAACATCTGTAAATATGTAAATACACAATAAAAGTTAGAATAAGTAGGTTAGTTAACAATTCGGGTGATAATTTGCAAGTAAATATATAAGCGCGATTAAATTTCACCAATTTGCGTTTAAGAAAGTTAAATAAATGTAAATCCAGTAGGAAAAACAAATTAACAATCATTTGTTGCATAAAAGACAAAATATCAACAAATCATTATTTAAACAATAAATTTACAACTAATTGAATGCAATAAACGCAAATTGATGGAAGATAATGTTTAAATTTAATTTCATTATAATTAATAACAAAATCATTTATTTATATAAAGGGAATGCGGAGATTCTCAATTTTCAGTTATTTTATTAGCAAAAATGCAAATGTAAACGAGAAACTCAATTTTAAGTTAGGTTTACAATTTTCAGTTTAAAACCATTAAATACTTGCAAATACGAAATATTAACCTAGAATTATCGTTCATATGCAAATGCAACATAAAGTACAATAAAAATCACTAAGCAATAAGCGCCGCATGATAGTAATCGTTATTATGCAAATCAGACTTAAACTTAGGCTGATATAATTAAGTTCTAAGGCTGGTGATCATTCTAGTGAATTTTTTAGTGATAAATTAGAAATTGAATAAAACATATGATGTAGCAATAAGTTTAGTTAAAATATATAGCAGGTAATCTTGTATCGCCAGTGATAAATAAAATTAAAAAAAAAAAAAAATTAAATAATAACTGTGAGACGACCCAACTGGCTTAAATTTATTATTATTATTAATTCGATGTTATATACAATAAAAGACAACGTTTCGACCTTAAGTTTAGGTCCTTATCAAGTCTAAAATTAAAAATAATACCAATAAATGTATATACAAGAATTTCAATTTTAAAAAGCAAAGCGTAAACCAAAATTGTAATAACAATATTAAAACGTACTTTACGAAATCTTTAATACAAAATAAAATTGAGTTTTTACATTATACACATTTCTATATAAGTACTGTGTCAAGTAAACGTTCCGTATGGATGGTGAAAGCGAACTAAGTTAAACAGCCTTAATTATTCTATCATAGATAGAGTTCAAATTCTCTGTGTCTTTCTGTAGGTTGATCATGTTACATTTTTTTATAAAAAACATTTCAGCAATCTCTCTTTTCCTAGTGTTTGTTTCTCGATGTAATATATTTAAGGTTGTCCATTTAAAGTCATGCAAAAAATCATTTCTATGTTTGCTTATAACATTCTGGTTGCTGACATGCATTTTTATATTATTCATATGCTCTTTTATCCGAGTATTAAGGTGTCTTTTAGTTTGTCCAATGTAGCGTCACAGTCGTTGCAGTCAACCTTATAAACTATCTCGGTCATATCAGCTTTAGATAATTTGTCTTTTCCGCGTTTAATAAAAGTATCTAGTTTTTTTGGAATCGTATAAATAACACTTAAGCCTGTTTTCTTAATAGATCTCTCAATAGTTTCGCTTAGGTTCTTAACATACGGCATTAAAATACAAGACGAAATATCAAATACATTATTTTTGTTAACAACGTTATGAGAATTTCTTAAAAAACATGTTCTTTTATACATATAACGCTCGATGACCGTCCTAGGAAAACAATTATTCGACAAGATTTTTTTAACCATCTGTAAGTTCTCATTATGGAACCGTTTATCCGATAACAATATAGCGTGATCGACTAAGTTGTTAATGGTGTTAACTTTGTATTTAAACGGATTATTAGAATAGTAATTTAAATATCTACCAGAGAAGGTGGGTTTCTGGTACCAATTAGTCAATAGTTTACCATTGTTTCTAAAAACCATTGTATCCAGAAAGTTAATCTTGTTATTAATTTCTGTTTCATACGTAAATTGTAAACGGTGATGGTAATTATTAAACGTAGTCAAAATAGTATTGATTTTATTGCGTGGCACTACTGCAAAAATATCATCAACATACCTATAATAAACCAAAATGTCAAATTGTAAAGAGCTTAAACACTCTGTCTCAAGATCAACCATAACTAAGTCTGCTAAAATAGGGGAAAGAAGAGATCCCATTGGAGTACCATGTATCTGTTCATAAAATTGATCGTTGATACGAAAACTAGTAGATTCTAATAGAACGTCGATTCCATATAAAAATTGTGCCAAACTAAAGTTTGTGTTACATGAAATATCCCTCCAGCGTTTTTCAATAGATTTTAAAACTAATTCCTTAGGAATGTTTGTGAATAAAGATGTGACGTCAAGTGCAATTAACATTTCACTATCCTCAATACTCACATTCTTGATTTTATTCGAGAACGTCCAACCATCTTTAATATGTGAGGTAGGTTTTGTAACTGATCGTTCCAATATATCATGTAAAAAACGCGCTATACTGTAAACCGGACTCCCAAGTGACGAACAATTATACGTATGCTTGCTTTTTGTATATTGCTTTTTAAAATTGAAATTCTTGTATATACATTTATTAGTATTATTTTTAATTTTAGACTTGATAAGGACCTAAACTTAAGGTCGAAACGTCGTCTTTTATTGTATATGACATCGAATTAATAATAATAATAAATTTAAGCCAGTTGGGTCGTCTCACAGTTATTATTTAAGTTTAGTTAAAGTTTGATACTTTTATGATCACACAAAGCATAATGTAAATGCTGTTAATGCTAAAATTATTTTATTTATTATTATCATTTTTATTTTTTACCTATTATTATTAGGATTTTATTTATTTGGAATAAATAAGATACCAAGATTGATTGGTTGATAAGTCTGACTAGCATAATATTATTTGAATTAAGTAAATAATATTAAATGTATGATTAGTTTTTTTTGACAATTTTATGTGACTAAAATATTTATTTATGTTTAACAATGTCTAGATTGACATTTTGTTATTTTTATTCTAAAATATTTCTTAGTTAGTTATTGCGTAATGGAAACATTATAATTTTATGTTATATGAGTTAATTTTACAATAAGAATGATTTCAATCATAAAATAAGATAAAAGGAACTCTTTATGAGTCGTGCGATAATCCGAAAATCGAAAACGAGAACTCTTTGCGAACATAGTCTACACTGTCGCGTTCCGATAGGCCGGAGGCCCGATGGCGGGGCGACGCGTTGTGATTGGCCGGCGAGTCAATAGCGGGGAGAAGCGCGTTCGAGACCGGGTATAAAGCCCGCGGCGCAAGGAGAAGCGAGGCTTTTCTTTCAAGATTCGAAAAAATTAGTTACAGCAGCTTTTCGCTAGCCACACTAAAACCGGGAGTTTCAGTTAGTTGCGCAACGTTACGTGAAATAAGCGAGTACCGAACAATCGCGGAAGTTAATGTTAGCGGACTACTGTGCGGGAAAAATATATTTGTACCTGATAGCGTTATCCCTAAACGGAGAATAAAACAATTTCGTAAAGTAAAATTATCGGCTTGGTGTACTTACTTGCATCTACATCTCCCATGACTATCCTTTCCGGGTAATTTGAAGTTGACGGTGATCCAACGGCGAAGTCCACAGCATCTCACGATGACCTGGAACAAAAGGAAATAATTAATATAGTCGAAACCCATTGTGTCGTGACGACGAAGCGTTGCGTCATTCATCAGGTGGTAACCTGATACGGCGGCCATCTTAGCAGTCCTTTGAGCGGCAAGCTGACAAAGCAGCAACGGAAATCCACGCATCCTGGCGAGCTGAAACAAAGAGAAGGGGTCAATCGGCAAACTACCTTGACACTTATTTAGGTCAAAGTGTCTGGCGACCATTATCAAGGCGAAAGCGGTGCGTTCTGTACCGGTAAGTCAAATATCTATATTTGTTCGGTCACATCCTAACCACAACTGCGTCTTTGGATTCTGTACTGAATAAAATAAGTTCTTCTACAATTCAACCTCAGACTATAATCCATGAGAGTCCTGTTACAATTCCTGTAACAAGCTCTATGCAGTACACACCTACAATTTTGTCTTCACTGGACTCTTCAATTGTGGATGCTTTACTAAAGCAGGTCCTTTTAAAATTCAGCCTCAGATTAAAATCCATGAGAGTTCTTCTGTTATGATTCCTGTAACAAGCTCTATGCAGCACACGCCTACAATTGTGTCTTCATTGGACTCTTCAATTATAGACTCAGATAATGAAAAAGAAAATACTTCTGGTGTCAATAATGATGGCTATTTTATTTGGGACTATAAAACCATAATGTTGTTTTTCAGAGTATGAACAGCATGAAAAAAATTCCAGAAAAGAAAATATCAAAGTAAAGAGGCCATGTTTCAAGCGATAGCAGAATCCTTCCAAGAAAGAGGTTATGTGAATGCTACTAAAAATCACATGAAAAATAAATTTAAATTATTGAAGAAGAAATGGGATAAACATATCAAACAGACCATTTTTTTTTTTACTCTGGGGAAACCTCATGGTACCACTCACCTCCCTCTCGTTGTCCGCCACCTTGTCGTGGTGAGAGGGCTCACCCCTCGCAAGAGGATACTCTTGCGAGGGGTGCCAAGAGCGGACCGTACCTCCTGTAGGGAGGTACACCGGCCCTCCGGTATAGGAGGGCACCCTCAGGGACTCTGCAGGGGGGTCATGTTCCGAGGCTGCCGGGCCGCAGGACCGTCGAGGCTGTCCTTCCCTGCCTGGACCAGTGGCTCAGCAGGGAACATGGGAGGGTCACTTACAGGATGACCCAGATGCTCACCGGACACGGATGCTTCGGTGAGTATCTGGGTCGCATAGGGAGGGAAAAGTCGGCGGTCTGCCACCACTGCGGCCATCCAAGGGATGACGCCCAGCACACCCTCGCGGACTGTCCCGCGTGGGTGTGCGAAAGGGCTGACCTGATGGCCGCGGTGGGGCGTGACTTGTCACTGCCGACAGTAGTGTCGGCTATAGTGGGGGCTTGTGTCATAGTTATGTGATAGGGATAATATTTAAGGTTCTTTATAATCCTCCTAATTGTTGATCTTGGAATACATAGTTTCCTCGCCAAAATCCGCTGACTTACATGAGGATTAAGATGAATTGCTGCCAGGAGCATGACCACACGATTGTCGTTTTCATCATACACATGATCTTTCCTTTTACGTTTGAGATGATCTTCACGAGCTCTTTGTTCGAGGTTTCGGATTAAAGCAGGATTGGGGTATCCTTCCCTTTCAGGATACCGATCTTGATAAACTCGCGAAGCTTCGTGATAATTTAAATGATTTCTCCAAGAATGAGAATAATATCAATGATCTCCGAGGGTGAAAAGTCTGGTATTATTTTTTCCGTAGTTGTAAAATCCTTGAACGATAATAAAGGGATACAATTGATAATTTGTATACAAATTTTTCTTTTAGTAAATATAATAACCATATGTGCATTATTATCGTATCCTTCTATGTCCCTGTAAGATTATTACGATCTGCTGATCTGACGTCGCTCGACTTTTTCTTATGGGGATACCTGAAAAATGTCGCGTACGAGCAAACGCTTACAACGAGAGAAAATATGATAGAAAGGATACGAGAAGCTTGCAGAAGGATAACGCACGATATGTTACTCAAGACAGTAAGACATTTCCAAGATAGGTTGGCATTATATATCCAAGCCAATGGAGACAACTTCGAACAATTGATTCGATAAATTTTTTTTGACTGGATCATTCTCGATTTTGCCTTCGATGGCAGGATTCTTTTTGATCTTACTTTAGTTGACAGAACCATCAACGATCTTGCTTTGACTGGCTGGATCATGTTTGTATCTTGCCTTGACTGGCTGGATCCGTGTTTGTATCTTGCCTTGACTGGCTGGATCGTGTTCATATCTTGCCTTTACTAGATGGATCGTGTTCGTATCTTGCCTTGACTGGCTGGATCGTGTTCGTATCTTGCTTTTATTGGATGGATCGTGTCCAGATCTTGCCTTGACTGGCTGGATCGTGTTCGTATCTTGCCTTTATTGGATGGATCGTGTCCAGATCTTGCCTTGACTGGCTGGATCGTGTTCGTATCTTGCCTTTACTGGATGGATCGTGTCCAGATCTTGCCTTGACTGGCAGGATCCGTGTTCGTATCTTGCCTTGACTGGCTGGATCGTGTTCGTATCTTGCCTTGACTGGCTGGATCCGTATTCGTATCTTGCCTTGACTGGTTGGATCGTGTTCGTATCTTGCCTTTACTGGATGGATCGTGTTTGTATCATGTTTTGACTGGCTGGATCGTGTCCGGATCTTGTCTTGACTAGCTGGATCATGCTTGGACTTTACCCTGATTGGTCGAAGCATGTAAAATAAGACTATCGGAAAATTAATATTTTAAGAAATATATATATATATATATAAATAATATATATATATAATATATATATATAATATATTTTATATTTTTATCAAAATGTAGTAACTTTCGAGCTTTATAACTCGAAAAGTACGCAATGGAAAAACATTTGATTATAGTGTTTTAGAAAGCTCTCGAGGTCAGCTACAAGAATATGTAATAAAAAATAGGGAGTGTCATTTAAAAAAATTGAGGTGACCTTCGCGTGATCTTCAAATGAATATCCAAAGTCAAATCAATGGCACCATCTTATAGTCCCTTCGAAACTATACAACACATTGCAACGTCTTTTCCTGTGCCGAAACGCCAAGTTCGGACAGGGGAGCGTTCAATTTAAAGATTCTCCAAGTTTAACTAATAAAACGGTAAAAATCGGTATCAGAAGAGTTAATTCTACGCCCTTAGGGGCGTTCATTAACTCACGGTAAAGTTGGGCGCCAGGCGCGTGTGAACGCGCCACGATAATACTGTGAACGGTACTTAACGTTACTTCTCCAAAAGTCATACAGAGTCGCGGGTCTATAGAAGTGATGGGTCTATGGTTGAGAGAGAGGTATAGAGAGACATACACGTGGTGTTAGAATTTGACAGATATATATATTTGACACTTAGGATTTACAATTTGACATCGGATACATACAATTGGATAATAAAATTATGTAACAAACAGTAATAGATAAACTAGCGGTATTGAAACGAAAAATCTAATATCATAAGATCGGCGAATATCGGTATTTTCGGAATTGACTTATAAAATTAGTATTAATTATACACGGTGAAACATTCTATATAATTTCGCGACAATAATATACAAACGGAATAACAAATACAAAATCGGTAAACGTTATGATGGTCTAACTTATTTTCGCGGGCACGCGGAATAGACAGAGGTCACAATACGTTATTCCGAGACACGGCACGGTATGAAAAAAACAAGATAACAACTAGATGACGGAAATTTCGTGATTCTCTTGCACGACTCTCTCGCCGAGTCGAGAACAATGAAATAGTTAACAAACTCGCGGAGACGGCTACACGCAAATTCCGAAAATCTAATAATCGAGCCTATAAAAACGTGACTCTGAATATTTCGGTAACCCGAATTTACAATAATTATTTTCGAGACGATAGACTGTCGGCGGCACTTTTCGGAGAGGGCTCTCTTCGCGAAACGCAAAGTCGGCTGGCCCCGCGATACGATACTCCGAAAAACGAAAAGAAAGAGTCCGCTCTCTCACACACAAAACGATACGAAAAATGAGAGAGTACTCACGGTAATTACGGTACACGATCGATATCTACGGTACCAACCAACACGTATCTACGACTACTCGAGAGGCAGCTTACAGTTTCTGGCGGTGAAGTCGAGTCCTTGGGTCGCACTTTTGGAGTCCTGGAGGCACCCTCTCTAGTCTACGGCACACCGAACAGTGGAGAGCCGGGCCTCGCGCGTCTCGATACCTTCTTTTTCGCGCCGATCTTTTGCGCATCCCTCGATGATAGGGTCGATGGCGGGGGCCCTAAGGTCTCCCCCCGCCTCCCCCTTTAGCTGAGGTAATTCTCCCGCCGGGAGCGGAACGCTGTTCGACAAGATTTTCCTCCGGGTTTCTTCCCGCGGCATCTCTCCTTCGGGAACAAACGGGGGGCTGGCCAGGCCCTCCGTAGTCCCCCTTCAGGCTCGGCCCTGTGGTTTACTTGGCTCCCGGAGTCCTCTCGGTATCTATAATATTTCAACGCCTAGATTCTGCGCGAGATATATCAAATTAAATTACGAATACTTGATACTTAACTGCGCGAGGTCCCGCGCTCTCTCTCTCCTACGCTCGCTCCATCCTCCTTTCGCGCTGCGGTATTCCGCCTTCTCTCTCTTGCTGCGGCACTCCGGCATCCTCCCTCTCTCTCTTGCTTAACATGTCTCTCTCCGGCCGCTCTCTCGAGCCGTCCTTGTCGCTCTACCTACGAATCGCGTCGCACGCGCATCGACAGGCCGATGCTGCGTGCAACGGCGATTCTCGCAAAAAATACGGTAATACGAAATACGAAAAACGACGGATCGCACCCTCCCCGAAGTGAGGGGCGCTCCAGGTCTCCGCGGCCTACCCGATCGGGTTTTTTCGCCCTTGTGACGGCGCTCCAAAAGCGTCACGTCACAACATGTCTGAACCATTTTTCGATATTTCGCTTAGTTTACGAGAAAATTGATCGTATTTTTTAAAATGGCTCACCCTGTATATATACTTATACATAATTTGCGAACCACCGCAAATGGGCAAATAGAGCGTGTTAAACTGAATAGAAAAGTCCTGTATCATTTTGCGATATTCGCAATAATTATTGAGTTATTAAGGGTCGACAGGCGACATGGTAGAGACGCCTATCGGCCGGCCGGGAATTAGAGATTCTTATATTCCAGATATTAGCGAAACTACTGAATGAATCTTATTAAATTTATGATATTCTTAATCAGTAAGCTCAAATGCAGTCCGCCAAAGAGTTATTTATTGAAAAAAAGATGAAAATAAAATTTATAATATAACTTGGGGGAATGCGCAGCTAGTAACGGGTAAGGTTGGGTTAGCCAGGAGTCCGTATTTTATTTATTATAAATTTTTCAGAGCAAAAATGCAAAATCCGACTCTTTGGCGGACTACTTTATTATATCAAGAATATATTAAAAAAAAAAAACCAAAGTTATGTCACTTATTTTATGAAATATCTGGACGATAAGATTCTCACTAGATTCATAAGGAGCAGGGGAAATTTCTGTGGTAACATGCTGACTGCTTGACAAGGAGAGAGCATCATTCCATCTTTGTCTCTCTTACATCGCATATGTAGTAGCGTCCATGTAGGTACAAACACTAATACGTGAGCACACGGATGCAAATATTGAGAGATAATGTCAGCAAAAAGGCTATCATATTATTTTTATTTTTTTGTATATGTATGCATATGTAAATAAAGAACAAAAATAAAAACTATTTTAAATAATAAGAATCTATTTGTGTGTGTGTGTGTGTAATTAAAAATTAATAAAAAAATTAAAAAATCAATTTATATACCATATATTTTTTTTATATCATATAAAAAAATCTTAGAAATGTACTTAAATTTTTCGTAGATCCTCGATTTTCGATCCTTTTTTTCATTGCTTCTAAACATTCAGCTAAAAGAGCAGTTGAGACTATTCCAATAAAAAATATTTCATCTTATTTTTTGCAAATAATATAATATATTTTTTATTTAGGAGTCCAAAAATATATGTTACGCATAAGTTATTTATAATTTTCGTTCAAATTAAGAGAATATTGTATTGAATATATTGTAATGCATATACACATTAATTTTCATTAATTTACTTGTTTAACAAAAACATGGTTTTTTGATAATAATTTAAAATTATTTCTGCTCAGTGATTTTTAAATAGCCGCAGTATATTGACGGTGCAAAGGTAGCATAATCAATTGTTTTTTAAATGAAAACTGGAATGAAGGAATTGATTAAAGCTGTTTTAATTTGTAGATTTAAAATTTAAATTTTAAGTTAAAATTCTTAAAAGAAATTATGGGACGAGACGACCCTATTAAATTTAATATAATTTTTTTATTTAAGGAAATAAATTTTATTTTAATGATTATATTTTATTGGGAGGATAATTAAATAAAATGAACTTTAATTTAAAGATAATTTTAACATTAATTAATGAAATTTTTATAAAGGATTGATTATTAAATTAAGAAAAAAATTTTTTTTTTATAATAATTATTATAAAAATTAATTACCTTAGGGATAACAGCGTAAGATTTTTAGAAAGATCATATTAATAAAAATGATTGCGACCTCGATGTTGAATTAAAATAAAAATTAAATAAAGAAGTTTAATATTTTAGTCTGTTCGACTAATAAAATTTTACATGATTTGAGTTCAGATCGGTGTAAGCCAGATCGGTTTCTATCTATAATAAAATTAAGAAAATTTTGTACAAAAGGACTTTTTTTTAAATTATATTTTTTTTAATGAATAAATTTAATTGATCAAATATATGTAAATAAATAAAATTACTTTGGCAAAATTTAAGTGTATTAAATTTAGAATTTTAATGATGTATAATAGAAAAAAGTTATACAAGTAATAATTTGTCAAAATTTAAGATTATATTTTTATAGTGCGTTAAATATATTAAGATTGTTAATTTTGTTATTAATTATATTAGTTGGGGTAGCTTTTTTAACTTTATTGGAACGAAAAATTTTAAGATATGTACAAATTCGTAAAGAACCTAATAAGGTGGGATTTATAGGATTATTTCAACCTTTAAGTGATGCTATTAAATTACTTAATAAAGAATTATTTTATGTATATAAATCTAATTATAATTTTTTTATTTATGTCCTATAATTAGATTTGTTTTAATAATAATATGATTGGTATTTCCTTGCATTACTAATATTTATTTTTTAAATTATTCTATTTTATTAATAATTGTTTTTATAACTAATAGAGGGTATGTTATAATTTTTATGGGATGATCAGCTAATTCGATTTATTCAATAATAGGGGCAATACGATCAGTTTCACAAATATTATCATATGAAGTAAGATTTATTTTAATTATTTTAGTAATATGTTATATTATTTTAGTAATATAAATTATGTTATTATATTAGTAAGAGAGAGATATTCTTTTTTTGATTTTATTAATTATCAATTTTATTTATAATATATAGTAGTTTTATATCCTTTGTTTATTATAGTTTTTATTAGGATTTTAGCTGAATTAAATCGAAGTCCTATAGATTTTATCGAAAGTGAGTCAGATGATTTAATATTGAATATTTTAGGGGTGGGTTTACATTAATTTTTTTATCTGAATATGGAATAATTATTTTTTTTAGATTAATTAGAATTTATATATTTAGGAATTTATTAAAATATTCAATAATTTTAACTTTTATTTTAATTAATATTTTATGTAGAATAGTAATTTTTATACATGGAATACTTCCTCGAATACAATATGATAAATTAATATATTTATGTTGGAAAATTATTTTACCAATAATTTTGGTTTATATTTTATTAATTTTTGGATTTAAATTTATATTATTAATAATAATTTAGTAAAAAAAATTAAATGTTTAAAAGTTAATAGAAAATTAAAATTTCTTTAATATGTTTTCAAAACATAAACTTAAATTCAAGATTATTAACTTAATTTAATAGTAATTTATAAAAAATTTAAATATTAAATATAATTATTTTTAATATTTTAAATTTATTTATAATAATAAATTTTAAAATATTTATTTAAAAATAATTAAATCTCAAATTTTTATTAGGAAAGGTAATAAGATAAAATAAAGAAAGTAACATAATGATAAAATTTGTCTAATAATGATAAAAGGTTGAGCTCCTGCTCATGTTAATAGAATAAAAATATTAATGAAAATTCAAAATAAATATTGATTTAAAGGATAAAATGATAATGAATTAAATTTTATAGAAATTAGAGGTAAAAAATATAAGATAATAATTGATGATAATAATGCAATTACACCTCCTAATTTGTTAGGGATAGATCGGAGGATAGCATAAACATATAGAAAATATCATTCAGGTTGAATATGAATTAAAAATGTATTTTATAAATAAATGAAATATTATATATATATAATATATATATATATATAATGTATATATATATATATATATATATATATATACAGATATGAAAGAACTTACGAGTAACGTATGATGGCTCAATGCAAGAATATTTAATCACGTAAAAAACTTGAGTTCAAATATATCAATATCAATTTTTTTATAATATATTAGAATATAGAAAATCATAGAAATATATTTTTTATATAGGCGATAAACTTAAAAATTTGATATTGAAAATATTTTAATCATTTTACAACTACACACACTATAAATATATAAATGCAAAATACTTCCGTAAATAAATTTCAATAAATCAATTGCACACATGCACACAGCTGGTATGTAGATTTTTATTAAATTTATTTTCTGAATTATTTTACACTTATATATATGTAGTAAAAATATTTTCAATATATTAAAAAATTTTTAAATCGCCGAAATATATTTTATCATTTTTCTATATTCCAATATATATATATATATATATATATATATATATGTATTATAAAAAAATTGATATTGATATATTTGAACTCTAATTTACTGGATGATATACTGAACATCCTTGCATTGATTATATATTACTCAACGGTACGTTCTTTCACGTTATAAGTTATTGGAGCAAATTATACAATAGCATCAATAATCAAAAAGAAATCAAGAATAATCAACATATCCCTTATATAATATATATATATATATATATATATATATATATATATATATACGCACATATGTGCATAAGGATATATAAAATTTATAAAAAGTAGGTACTTATTAGCCTTGCTACGCTACTGCCTTCTGCTACGGAAGGCCAGAAAGCATTTTCAGGCGGCATCTCGCGTATACCGGCACGGTAGAGGAACAAGGAGAACACGTGATTATCGGTCCTTGTCTCTCTACGGTGCGTCCGCGTGAGCAATGCAATGGTGTATGTACGTGTACAGACATGCACCACTACATAAAACCCGAGAATTGGTTTCTCGGCGTTGGCAACATTGAAATCGGAGTTTCGCGTTGTCACCGCGCGAGGTCTCCAACATCAATTCGGAGTTTGGCCGACCGACCTGTCGACCCTTAACTAAAATATGTAAACGAATGAGCGGGTAGAAAGCGATAGGCCGGACTCGGTGTGCATGTACCGCTTAGTATCAAAAGTATCATCTTACTTTTCGGCGCCACTACATTGGTCGCCGCTCGCTGCATGACGCCGCCTCTCGATCAAATAATGCTTTCTACCTGCTTATTCGTTTAGATATTTTAATAAATAACTCAATAATTATTGCGAATATCGCAAAATGATACAGGACTTTTCTATTCAGTTTAACACGCTCTATCTGCCCATTCGCGGTGGTTCGCGAATTATGGGACACCCTGTATATTTCCCAATGTCTATTATTGGATCAATAAGACCGTCACATAAAATGATATAAATGAACAAATTAGTGACTAAATAAAATTGAATATATATTTTATTTTGCAATTTTTCTGGAATGTTGCTATAATATTCTCATAAAATATTACAATTATATGTTCTTGTAATGTCTCTAAAATGTTACATTGCAACTTGAAAGATTGTAACATTGCTGCAATGTAACTGAAATGTTCTGTGCTGTATGGGTTTTAGTTTTTATATAATAGTATATTGTGTATCAAGTACGAAAAGTTGACAATTGGTCACGAGTGCGGGGGATGGACGCAGGAGCCGAAGGCGAGTGCGACCACCCCACACGAGTAACCAATTGTCAATCCGCACTTGATACACACGATATTTTGTATTGCCACGGCTTTAGCCGTGGGCAATGACTTTGAACGCGGCTCAGCCGTAGGCAATGGCTTTGAATGCGGCTTATTCACTCACCGCGTTGCCGCTAATTGGCGGCGTGGGAAATCGGCCGCTTTCCACTCAGAAAACACGCACACAAAGTGCCACTTTGCCTGCACGTGTAATACAAAAGATTTTTATATTTGTGAATTATCGCCGAGATCAGGAAAGGTTCCCGAAACGTCGAAGCGAGAGCAGGGTATTGATTCTGTAACTTTTTCTAAAGTAAATACGTGAAAAGTGAAAAATTTCCGCCAATCGCATATCGATTTTATTTTAAAATCAATGCATGATTGGCGGAAATTTTTTACTTTTCACGTTTTTACTTTAGAAAAAGTTACAGAATCGATACCTAAGATATCGATTTTGTAATTTCTTCTAAAGTAAAAATGTGAAAAGTGAAAAATTTCCGCCAATTACAAATTAAATTCAAAATAAAATCAATATGCGATTGGTGGAAATTTTTCACTTTTCACGTTTTCACTTTAGAAAAAGTTGCAGAATTGATACCTAGGTCTCTACTTTTGTTATCTGGCAATTGTGAACCCGGCCTTACATTTTTCTGTGTGACACGACCTTTAATTTTTGCAGGGTTTGGAGGAAACAAAAGAGCGTCGAATTCTGTTTTATTTAAATCGCGCATTTCGAAGGAATGAGATAAACTTTGAACTCTCGAAGCGCCATCGACTAACTTCGTCTCCCAAATTGATATAATAAGGAAGCATTTTGTGTTTCATTATTTTTGAGAATTCTCTACGATTTTAAATGGCGTATCTAACCTCGTTACGTATAAGGATGCAGATGCGATGACCAATGTTTTTCGCTTTCGCGGTGAAGGTGTGTACAAGCAACTTTTCTAACTCTTATAATCTTACTTATATTTTTCTACTTAATTACGAGATAAATTTTGTAAGAACGTTTTTCTGCGCACAATTAATCGAAAAAGTCATTACGGCTGAATTCGAACTTCACTATTACCTAGAAAAAAGCATTCGTATGCCAGGAAATTTAATCAGGATTTTGCAGCAGGCCCTTCAATATGCTGTGTCCTAATTAAGCTTAATTTCTGACAACACACTGATAGGACGGTGAAAATACAGCAAAAATCAAGTATTGTTTACTATTATGTTGTAGTAACAGACATTGTAGCACATATTAAGCAAAATCCACCATATCAAGCATTAAATGATAGACATCTTTAAGATGTTTTTAAGATATCTTTGGGATTTCATATCATAAGATTTCTTAAAGATGTCTTAATGATGATTTATGCGTGCATTTTAGACATGGTGCTATCTGGGTTTTATGTAAACCTGCCCAAAATCTATTTTTGTATTAAATCTGAAAAAAATAAAAAATGTCATCTATTATCAGTTTATAAATTGATAATTTATTTTATATTGCATTGTATTTGTTAATTGTTACAGGTATTAACAGTGCGAACAGTAATAATGGATAGTCTGTTTACCCAAAATGTTTCTGAGGAGGCAGAGGATATACCGCCAACAGATGAACCTGTTTGGATTCTTGGCAAAAAATACAATGCTTTAAAAGGTCTAATAAATGATCAAAGTGTATATATGTGTGTGCGTGTGTTTCCAAGGAAGTGAATTGTTGTAAGATGTTAAATTTTAGAGCTCGAAGTGATACGTAGAGACATCAGATCCAAGTTATGGTTTACTTATCGCAAAGGTTTTATTCCCATTGGTGGTTGCAGTTCCACATTTACATCTGACAAAGGTTGGGGTTGTATGTTGAGATGCGGGCAAATGGTTCTTGCCCAAGCTCTAATTACATTACATTTAGGTACGTAATATTATATGACATTTTAATAATATATGTATATGTACAGAATAGGATATAAAGTTATAGCAAATTTGATTGGATGCACCAGTGTGCACTGAGTGCATATAAAGGTTTATCACACATAAGTTCACAATGACACAAGTAATTAAAAAAGAAAAATAATTAATAGTAAAAGCTATTATTATTGTTGTTCAATATGAATGATGATAATAATAGCTTTTACTAGTAATACAAGATAAACTGTTTGATCACCAGTAAATTTTGAAATCAAGGTTGATAAGAATTAAATCGACCAACTGGCTAAGGTGTTGAATTTAATTTATTAGCAATGTTTCAACCGCTATATCGGGTCCTCTTCAGGCTACAATAAACAAAAAATTTTTTTACGAATGAATTGAAATTTAAGACACATCAAACCTATGTAGGATAAATTAACAATAATAAATATATAACAACGCACTAAAAAATTATATTAAAAATTATATTTATATAATAATATTATATTAATATTTTCCTTTTTTAATTAGTTGTGTCATTGTGAATTTGTATGTGATAAACCTTATTTATATGCATTTAGTGCACACGAGTGCATTCAATCGAATTCGCTATTAAATTAACGATGATTGGGCTTATTTATACTATCACAAGTAATTTTCATTAAATTCATCTTTCAAACTCATATTTTGTCTAATTTAAATTTGCTGGCTTATTATTTATACTTATATGATGGACAAATTCATTTAATTTCAACTTACTGTTTAGACCTTTTTACAAGACGCTCAAGATTAGTTTTTTTTTTTCATTTTTTTTTAATATAAATTATTTAAAGAAAAAAATGATTTGTCAGAAGGATATAAAACTTTACTTTTAATTATATAAAGGTTGAATTGCAAAAATAGTACAATTGCTTCCCCCCTCCCCTCCCTCCGTCCCTCTCCCACACCCCTCTTTCTGTCTGTCTATATATATGAATATGCGAATTTTTTTTTATTCTCGTATATGATAGACAAATTCATTTAATTTCAACTTCAAGACACTCAAGATTACACCTCTTTTTTTTTTTTTTTTTTTTTTTTTTTTATAAATTGTTTGAAGAAAAAAATAATTTGCCAGAAGGATATAAAACTTTGCTTTTAATTATATAAAGGTTGAATTGCAAAAATAGTACAATTGCTTCCCCCCTTCCCTCCCTCTGTTCCTCTCCCACACCCCTCTCTCTGTCTCTGTCTATATATATGAATATGCGAATTTTTTATTTTAAGTAATTAATTTTCTGAACTTAGTTGAAACAATTTCCGAATTTATTAAGGATAATAAATGAAGAAAGATTTCGTTTTATATTGTTTTATTGAAAATTTAAAAAAATTTTTGACTAATTGTAAACATCTGACTTTTGATATATTAAGTAAATGTTTTACTCTATTTCTTGCACAATTGAGATTTTTTAAATTCAATTTTATAATTAAAATTCAAACAATCTGATTCTGTCAAATTTTTTTTTATATTTTTAAAAGCATTTTTTTTTAGATTAGATATAAATTTTTTTTATAAGATTATAGACAAGTTATAATACATTCTTGATTTTATTTTCCTGATGTCCTCCAGCAAGCTGGTGAGCGTTCCCCTATCCGCCACCTGGGGAGGCGCCCGATAGGGGACTGGCAACCCCGCACGGGACATTCTTGATAAAAATATATTTTTTAATTCACATAAAACTTAATATTTAAAATTTTTGATGTTACTGATTATAAATCTTAAAACCAGAGTGTTTACTTTCTGAAAAAATATAGAAAATTTTTTTGTATCTGGAAAAATCAAGAAATTCTCGAAATTTTATTAGGACTCAAGAATATATAATTATATAAAAAAAGGTTTACATATAAATTATTATAACATTACATTTATGATACAGGTAAAGATTGGCAATGGATGCCAGAAACAAAGAACAGTACATATCTGAAAATTTTAAGTCGTTTTGAAGACAAAAGAGCTGCCGCATTTTCTATTCATCAAATTGCATTAATGGGTGCGTCCGAAGGGAAGGAAGTTGGACAATGGTTTGGTCCTAACACCATTGCACAAGTATTAAAGTATGAAATATACAAATGTATTTTTATACAAATATATATGACCTGTCAGAAAAGTAATGAGATTGAATTTTGAGGGGACAAAATATTGAACAAAGATATTTAATACAGTTTTGTATTAAAGAAAGGGCCACAAATTGTTGTGGAAAGATAGTTTAAAAAAAGCACTTGGTTTTTCATTGTTGCCACAGATTTAATCTCATTACTTTTCCGACAGATCATGTGTATTGAAGAAATTTTTATTCACTTATATATTTTAATTTAAACAAACACATTATTAGCAAGATATGATTTAAAAAGTTTCTATGCAGCAATAATATAAATTTCTTCTTAAAAATTATGTTTGAGGAAAAATATGTGAATCTTTGTCCAAGCTGGTCTCTTTAAGGAGACCTTAACGTCATCTTGTTTTACTGATACGAAAAACGATTATTTTTCTAGATCCTTTTCTTTTTATTGCTTGAATAATTTTTTTTAATATACTGTGGGAACCTGCTACTAATGTAAGTGGGAACCTACCGATTTTATGTTAAAAACAAGAAAAATTTTAAAACTAAAATTTCTTTATTGATTTCTGTTGTCAGGTCAAAAAAATTATTGTTTAATATAAAAGTTCTACTGTTCGTACATACAATATAAGATAGGTTCCGACTAAAAATTGAATGAAGAAGTATTAGTAAACTTTTAGGTATAAGTTTAGAAGCCTAATAAATAAGAAAACGGTGCAAAAAATTTTTACGCATGTGTTGTATACGTGCATATGTTTAGATATGTGTGGTGCTAACCTATCATGTGTATACGTGCATATGTTTAGATATGTGTGGTACTAACCTATCGGAGTTTGGCCGTCACTCTAGCATCTCCTTAATATTGACAAAAACATGAAGATTAATATTGATAACTCTACCAATGTGCTTAGATAATTTTAAAATTAACTAGATAAAAATGAGAATATGTAAACTCATCTTAGATAATGAAGATGATTTTGTTTTAAATATATTTACATAAAAAATAAAATTATATGGCGATTCCTTTAGATAACTTTCAAATAATATTATTTTTAAGACCGCTTATGTAAACAGCTATAAAAAAAGTAAATTCTAAAAGGGATATAAAAATGTATTCATATTTTTATTTATTAGTTTTTATCGCTTACTGCTTAAGCTCTACTATTTAAGTATTTTTATGTGCTATAATTCTCAATCAAATTATCTTAACATTATTCTAGATAATTTAATAAAGATAACAATTTTCATCTAAGCTGTAAATATAGATAATACATATTTTTATCTATATAAAGATAATATGTGTCATTTAGATGATCATCTATGTATATAATATTTTATTTATCTAGATATATTTAAATCAAAATTATCTTTATCCTATCTAAGATTTTACATATTTTTATCTCATCTTTATCTAGCTAATTTTTAAATTATTTAAGCACAACACTGATAGATAATTTTTTGTTAATTGACCTCAAAATTTTTAGCTTGTGGAATTTGAAAGCTCTTAAGTAATTCATAAATCAGTTTTTTTTATATTTTGCCGTAGGGAAATCAACATGATAGGGATGAAATAAATATATAGTTAAGTTAATATATATAATACATATGTATTGTATACATTACACGCATATATTATTTATTTTCATGTGCCAAAATATAAATCTCTTAAGCACAAAGAAAATTTAAAAAAAATGTTATATCTCAAATTAAGTAAAAATTAAATATAAGTTTTAACATTTTTTTAAATTAATTCTTATTGTTAAAATTGTCTCACGTATTTTTCAAATATTTAAAGAATAAATATTAAATATATATATATATATTATTTTTATTATTTTATGCAGATATAAAATTTCATTATATTTTATTTTCACATCAAAACTAAATTAAAAAAATTTTAATACACCAATTTTGCAGAATTGTTTTAAACATTTTCATTATGAATAATTTTCATTACGAAGCAATTTTATATATATTATGTTATAATTTTAAATGTTTATATACATTATCTTTTATTCTTTTTATCCCTAATTTAGTTTATATAGCACTTTTAGTTTAATTTTAGATTATTTAATAATTTTATCAACACAACCTTTATTATTAAAAATTTCAGTCAAATAATATTTGGAAGTAAAACAGTTTTTAATAAAATGCTGCAAGAGTTTCAAAATAAAATGTTTTGATAAAGTGCAGATGTATATATCTTCAAAAAGTAATTAAAAATTTACAAAATTTTTTTAATAAAAAAACCGTCATCCATAAGCTTCACTCATTTTATGCATTATTATCAAAAACTTATAATTAATTTGGATTATGACAAACTATGTAATATCTTGCAAATTAATCAATTTTCTACTAATCTTCTATTAAATTTTTTAACTGAAAACCCTATTTTTGTAAAAATGCAGCAGTACTATATTATTTAGACTTCAAGATGTTTTATTGCATATTTTTTTAAAAAATACAATTGTGTATTTCTTGATTATAAAACTTTTATAAGGGCATACTTTTGAAAACATTATAATTTTTGAAAATTACTTAAGATTAAAATTTAGTGCTAAAATTTTTAATTTTTTTATAACGTATTACAAAATATAAAATGATTTTTTATGTTTTTATTTAGTTGAAAATATTGAAAATTTTGTTTTCTATTTTGCTACTAATAAATCAAATTTTTAACAAAAAATCATTCTTCTTTTAATTTAATTTTATATAACTGTGCATTTTTACATATTTTATATACATTTTTTTAGTTCGTTGAGATGTATGTCTTCATATTGAGAGCATTATTAAATTCTTACTTATTCTTACCTATAATATATATTTTATTTTGATAAACGTTTATAATAACTTTTATAATTTCAATTTTTATTAATAATATTTTTTCAGAAAATTAGTCGTATATGATGAATGGAGCTCCATTACCATACATGTTGCACTAGACAATACATTAATAATTAATGATATTTGTAAGTATGTAATTCTATTATAACAAAAAAGAAGAATTGTGACATAATCAATTAATTAAAAATCAGTTAAACACATTAATATATATCACATACTTAATATGTTGATTTTAAGTATTACAATTTTTTTCAAAGGATACAGATAGACATAATATGTAAAATAAAAAGAAAAATTAAAATAAGAAAATTTTATAAAAGTTTGTTATATATTATGTCTCTATATAACAAAATATAATATAAACTTATAATTACCTAATTTATGTTTTTATGCGGATTTTATTAATTTTTTTTATTTAGTTTTTTTAGAAAGGAATCATAAAACAGGATTAATATATATATATATATATATATATATATATATATATATATATATATATATATACTAGTACATTAAAATATATGTGATAGATTGTTAGTTAATTGATCAATGTCTGAATAATATTTGTTTTTGGTCTTCTTATATATATATAGAGGGTATTTCATTTTAATTTTTCCAGGCAAATATCTCTGAAATTAAGCGAAATATGAAAAAAGACGGAAGTTGTAAGATTTCAAGCAGTTGGCGTTACTGACCTAAAAAGCGATTTTCAAGGTCATTTAAAGATTATTTGTTTTTTTAAATAGAACTATCTTAATTTTTTATAAATCAATTCTCGCAATATTTACTATTATTTACTATTAATATACTCATATAACGAAAGGAATCAATTGATGTAAAGAAAATGCATAGTTGTTTTTTTTTTTTTTTTTTTAATATTAAACTAAAGTATAAAATATTTCGTAAACTATTCACTTTTTAGTCATCTTACCCTTATAACTTTTTATAGTAAATATGACGAAGAATCGATTTATATATAAAAAAAATTGAGTTTTATTTAAAAAACAAATAATCTTCAAATGACCTTGAAAATCGCCCTTTAGGAAAAAGTCAATAGCGCTATCTTACTTCTCCCTCGAAATCCTATATACTTTAGTTTAAACTTTTTATTTCGCATTTCGCTTAATTTCAGAAATATTTGCCTGGGGAAATTAAAACGAAATACCCTATTATGTATGGGTCGTCATATATGGATTTGCAGTGAAACAGTGTAGAGTAGAAGGTGGAACGACGGCGGAAATAGATGGAGAAACGCCTTTAAAGGCACCTAGCCAATGGAAACCTTTATTATTGCTAATCCCACTGCGCCTTGGACTGAACGAGATTAATCCTATATACATTAATGGACTTAAGGTATCAAAAATTTTGTTACACATAGAGAACATTGAATTTTTAATTGTTAATGCTATTATACACAAATGTATAAAAATATTATATTACTAGTGCATGTATATTTAAAATGTAGAAGAAAATTTATAGATACATTTTTTTCAGACATCATTTAAGTTTACGCAATCTTTGGGAGTGATTGGAGGGAAACCTAATCTTGCTTTATACTTTATAGGTTGTGTAGGTTTGTATACTTTGATAAGTATTAGTGACAATTTAAGAGTATTACAAAAATTAAAATTTAACATTATTTAAAAATCAAGAAATTGACTTTCCAGTTTTAAATTAATTTCAGCTATTTTTTCCTAGAATATTATTTGAACATAGTTTATATTTAAAAATTCTAAAACTTTTTCAATAAATAAAAAGAAATCAAATAAAGAAAAAATTAGTCATAATAAGGTAGATCGTTAGTTTCTTGTTATTTTATTTCAGAGTTAATCTTTTTACTGAAGTTTTAAAATTACTTAATTTCTATATATATAAATAATAAATTAATTTTTAAATATTAAATATTAATTTCTATTATAAATATTAAATAATTTAATCTTAAAAAAGAAACTTAATCATACCATTTTGAAAATATTTCAACATCGGTTAAAATACAACATAAAAAAAGTGTTGCATAAAAAATTTTAAATGATCTTGATATGATTATTCAAGGTTAAAAAGAGTGCATATATTCTTTTCCCTTTTACATTGAACAACTTTTATCTACCCTTTCTTATGTCTAAACCTTTCTTTTTATTTGGCATACTTTTTTAAATATTTGGAACTTAAATCTTAATATCTCTATATGTATATATTGGTATATATTCCATATATATACTTATAGGATAATATTTTAATAATCTTTTTTATTATATAAATGTAAAGTTAATAATTACGTGGGCTTTTTAATAAATGCATAAAATAAATATTTTTAGGAGATGAAGTGATTTATTTGGATCCTCATACTACACAGAAATCAGGTAGTGTCGAAAGAAAGATGAATGAAGAAGAAAGTGAAATGGATACCACATATCATTGCAAATCAGCTAGTCGTATTCCTATTACAGGCATGGATCCTTCTGTGGCACTAGTTAGTATAATCTATTATCTTTTTTATCTTTTATTAAAATTAGTAGAAAATATTTTTCCCCCTTTATATCTTCAATAAAATCAGTAAGTCCCCACTTTGTTTTTATATATACTTTAATCGTGGAAAAGAATTTATTATTCTATTCAACCAATAAAAAAAAGCGTACCCAAAAATGATTTTTTATCGGTAAAACAGGACAATTTCACAGGATCATCAAAGTTTCAAACAAACAGCGAGAATTAACAGCGTAGTTAATTACTACACATTTTGAATTATCTCATTTGTGTGTGTGTATGTGTTTGTGTAACATAAATAACACTTGTTGTTCAGTAAGAAATAAAGGCAAAAGATATATTATATATCTCACTGAACATTGGTTTGTTGCAATAATATTTTTATGCAACTCATATGCATATATAAGTTGTATAGAAATAAGAAATATATAATATTATTTCAAATTTATTTATATAGTACAACTGTAATATATTATATATATTTTATTATGTAATGTTATAAGTTATTTTGTAATAAAAATTTATTGCAATGTTCTATAATATTAAATTATAATATTGCATCATTTATCTATTAAATCAAATAAGGCATCCCGTATTATATATTTAAAATTAAATGGATATATAGGAAATTATTGTATTTTTATACTTGAGACAAAAATCGGAATAATTTTAAATAGATTATTATATTTCTTTAATTAAAGTATTTATTATAGACTTAATATTTATTTCATCTAAAGAAATGATATAATAATAATCAATTTTTACATATTTAGTTAAGTTTACATTTTCCAATATATAGTCTAGATAGTGACAAAAAAATTGTATTTGAACTTTTCACACACAAATTACTAGTTTAGAATCTTGCTTTGCATGAAATTTAATAATTTTTTGAATAAATAACGAACTGTTTAAAAAAATTTCAGATTCTTAATGTTATATAATAATAAACAATTTTTTATTAGAAGTTTGGATTTTTTGTTATACTATTTTTAAAATATCTTTTTAATATCTTTTTTTATATATGATTTAAAAAGTTTTTTAAATATTTAAAGTTTTATATGAAAAAAAAAATCATGTTGAATAAATTTTAACATTTATATATATATATATAAAATACTCTTTTGTACTCTAGTATAAAATATATATTTTAAATTTTGTGTGTGCATATTTGATATTTATATTTTTATTACAGTTTATAAAACAAATACACACATGTTATATTTGACATTTTCAAAATTATATGTATATTACCGCTAATAATTAATCTATTATATTTCAGTGTTTTTTCTGTGCTACAGAGAAGGAATTTAAATCTTTATGTAAATCAATGCAAGAAGAATTAATTTTACTCGAGAAGCAACCGTTGTTTGAACTGTGCAGAGAGCGTTTGACACAATGGCCACCAGCAGATGTTGCTTCTGAAGCGATAGCAGCTTCTAGTTGTACGTATTTAATTACTATTACAAGCAGTAATTTACATGTTTCAATATAATTTTAATTTTTTTTATGAATTTGAATGTAAATACATATATTTTATGAATATAAATACATATCTATATATACCTAAGTAGCAAACTGACGTCATTAAAGGTCAAAATGATGTCATTTGGACGTCGACACATACATGCACACGTATGTGCTTTAATAATATATACATTTTAGCAATAAATTAATTTTTTACAATAACTTTATACAATATAGGACTCGAGGAAATAAGAAATTGGCGGTATTGACTTTTTCCTAAACGTCAATTTTTAAGGTCATTTGAAGGTCATTTATGTTTCTTTAATTTTTTATATATAAATCGATTCCTCATAATATTTAAGGCTAAGATGGTTAAAAAGTGTATGAGATATTTTATACTTTAGTTTAACATAATTTTATAAAAACTATAAACACGTTTTTTCTTATAAGCAACTATGTGTTTTCTTTACATCAATTGATTTCTCTTATTATTTTGTGCATTAAAAATATTGAAATAAGATCGATAAAAATGAATATTTTGAGATATTTTATAGTTTAAAATTAATATAAAATTATATACATAGTATAAAATTGTCAAATTTAAGTATAAAATATCTCATAAACTATTCATTTTTTTTGCCTCTTACCCTTATAACTTTTTATGTCAAAAATTGCGAGGAATTGATTTATGTAAAAAATTGTGATTCCATTTTTAAAAAATATTAATTATACCTTGAAAATTACTTTTTAGAAAAAAGTAATGCCAACTTCTTTCCCCTTCAGGCTGTTTTCTCTGCCATAACTAAAGATATTAGCAATAATATTTAATACTTGGTTCTTATCATATAATTTAATTATTTTAATCTTAAATATTATTCAGAATCATGACTTTGACACATATTATCAAGGTCAAAGTTATTGAAAGTGAATCTTATAATATTTCAAAGTATTTATGTTGCCAGTGAAGAATAAATTAAGAAATTATTATAACCCAACTGGCTTCAATGCTCTTTATTAATTAACAATTCATAAAAATTATAATCAAACTACCTTTGGTTTAGGTCCTTTTCAAGTCTAAAATTACAAATTAAATATGAAAATTAAAATTAAAGTTCCTATACAAAAACTTATACCATACAAATTATATCTTTACAAAACAAGCGTAAAATACAAAATTAAAATTAAAATTTATATGAAAAAACTTATACTAAAAAAGAATATAACTTTATGGAAACATAGCGTAAACCTAGTTAAAACAAAAATTATTATAAAATATTACATCTAAAACGCATCTCAAATTCAATAAATTAAAACTTCCACGTATAATAATTCTTTGTATACAAAGAAAGTCAACTAAACTTTTCGTAAGGATGGTAAAGAACGAGCTAAGTTAAACAACCTTTATTATTCTATCATAAATAGGATTTAAATTCTCAGTGTCTTTCTGTAAGTTAATTGTGTTGTTATAATTTTTAATATAAAACATTTCAGCTGTCTCTCTTTTTCTCTTATGTGTTTCGCGATGTAAAATATTCAAGGTTGTCTATTTAAAGTCATGTAAAAATTCATTCCTATGTTTGCTTATAACATTCTGATTACTAGTATGTAATTTTATGTTATTCCTATGTTATTTTATCCGAGTATTAAGATGTCTCTTAGTCTACCTTATGTATGTGGCATCACATTCATTGCAGTCAATCTTATTTACGGCCTCATTCATATCAGCCTTGGATAGTTTGTCTTTCCCGCGTTTTATAACTTTATCTAACTTTTTCGGAATATTATAAATAACATTCAAGCGTGTTTTCTTAATAGATCTTGCCATAACTTTATTTAAATTTTTTATATACGGCATTAAATTGCAGGAAGATATATCAAATTCTTTCTTTGTATCTTCTACGTTGTGAGGATTTTTTGTGCAACCGGCGCGCGGAAAGTCGTCCTTTCCGCACATGATGGGATTTTAGAAAGGGCTCCCTTTTCACGCACCGATCACACAAAATATCGTAGCCAACATGTGCAGGTCGTAAATTGGCCGATCGTACGGATTGTCACACTCGGCTTCGCCTCATGCGCCAAACTTCCGCACTCTCGGCCGATCCCCCGCACTTGTTAGCTAATATACTATTAAAAAACATGTTTTCTTGTAAATGTAACGATCAATAATCCTCCTCGGAAAGCAGTTGTTAGATAAAATTCTTTTAACCATGTATAAGTTATTCTTATGGAAACGTTCATCAGATAGTAGAATAGTTAAATATAAAGTTTATAAAGTTAACACCATTAATAATTTAGTTGACCACGCTATTTTTTGAATGAATTTTTTTTATATTTTAGGTTTACGCTATGTTTCCATAAAGTTATATTCTTTTTTAGTATAAGCTTTTTTCATATAAATTTTAATTTTAATTTTGTATTTTACACTTGTTCTGTAAAGATATAATTTGTATGGTATAAATTTTTGTATAGGAACTTTAATTTTAATTTTTATATTTAATTTGTAATTTTAGATTTGAAAAGGACCTAAACTAAAGGTCGAAACGTAGTCTGGTTATAATTTTTATGAATTATTAATTAATAAAGAGCATTGTGTGAAGCCAGTTGGGTCGTTATAATAATTTCTTAATTTATCATATATTTACTCAATCTATCAGTTTTTAATATGATTTTACTATCTTCATAAAATTAATATTTTTAATATAAAGAAGTTAAATATTAGAAGATTAATTTTTAGACGATAGCAGATTCAATTATATATAAATTCTCTGTGCAGTTGTGGACTTTGAGCATGTTGAACGTCAGTATGACACATCCGATGAAGATTTTGAACTGCTTGGTTGACGTTCACCTAAACTATCTTATAATATTGCGATGACAAAATGTGAGATAACAGTTGATTATTACATGTAATATATAACGATAGTATTTTTTTAGAATCAATTTGTATTTTTAACTAGCGTGATGTGAAATTTCAATTTCACGCGGGTGTATATAGTGTCCTGAACCTACTTGCTGCATCATCTGCCAATAACAAATTCTTTAAGTCATTTTGGAGACGAAAAATCTTACAGCAAATTCGATCACATCGGCATTTCACTAGCGCATACTAAAAATACTGTTTTACATGAAGTATCTAAATATAAATATCTAAATAAATAATACAAAACATCTTAATGAGATATGCTCTACTAAATAAATAATATGACAATATATCATGATTGAATTTTAATTCTTTACAATGTTTATATTCTTTTTTTTTAGATAACTTCTATATATAAGAGCCTTTAATATGCATTATGGTGATCGTATTCACTATTAATACCAAAATATTAAAGCTATAACGCATGATAATAAATAGATTATATGATTTTAATAGCAGAAAAAGAAAATCGAATAAAAGTGATGATAAGAAGATCAGAGGGATACATGTAGAAAAATTGATTTAAAATTAATACTTAGCAAAATAAATTAATATTTAGTAAAATATATTTAGAAAAATGAAAGGCAACCAAGAAAAAAATTATAGATATATAATGAAAAATAAATTTTAGTTCGTGTAAAATTAAAATAAGTAATAAAATTAAAAGGCCAACTTAACGAGCTAATTGATTAGGTGTTAAAAATTGTTTATTCTACGTCATGAAATAATACAAATGATAATTAGTAAACTACAAATATCGCTTTGCTAACATATCAATAAATCATGGATTATAAAATCAGACTTTTATTCAAAAAGAACTACAGAAATCTGATGTTTGAGATTAGGCTCTTTAACGACTAATTCGAACGATCAGCCGTAATTCAAGCCAACAAGTATGATGTGTTATACTGCGTTTTTTCATAAGTATATATTTTACATGTAAGATAAGTTCTGTCTTTCCAAATTATTTAATTTATTGATATGTTAGCAAAGCGATATTTGTATTGATAAAGACTGTCGTACAGTTGAAACGTTTACTAATTATCATTTGTATTATTTTCATGACGTAGAATAAAAAATTTTTAACACTTAATAAATTAGCTCGTTAAGTTGGCCTTTTAATTTTATTACTTATTTTAAAAAATTATAGACTAGTAATTATATTCAGTAGTAATTATACTAGTAATTATATTTAGGGTGGTTTAAAAGTCCGGCAATGGCCAATTATCTCCAAAAATAGTCTTATGAAAAAATGTTAAATACAAAAGTTGTAGGGCTCAAAATAAGACACTTGATGATGACCTTGCCTTTGACCTAGAGATAAAATTTAGAGGTTATTTCAAGGTCAACTTAATTATTTTAAATGAGGAATCTCTCTTTTTTCATTCCATGAGACCAATCAATCAGTCTAAAAAAATACATAGTTGCTTTTAAAAAAATATATTGCAAATAACATACATCTTTTTTAAAACAACTATACTCAGTACCGGCATTAGAGGGGTGGCACGGTCGATCACCAGATCTGTAGGAACGCCGCTGCCCAGTGCACGGTGCACCTTAGTATGCGGCTATACCTCTATATCTAAAAATTTGAATAGGCTGAATGGGCGCCACGATAATTTTGCCTAGGGCGCCAATGTTGCTAAAACCGGCATTGACTATACTATGTATGTATTTTCTTTACACTAATTGATTGGTCTCATTATTCCATAAAAGTATTATGATATAATTACCAAAAACTGAATATTTTATAAGATATTTTAAATTTCGTTAAAAAATTCTTTACTTTAAACCTTTATAACTTAAAAAGTACTTAATGAAAAAAATGTTTTATTATAGTGTTTTGAAAAGCTCTCGAGATAAGCTACAAAAATACCTAATGAAAAATAGGGGTTCCATTTTAAAAGTATAAGGTATGTGATTATTTGACACTCAATCTAGATAATTGGTTAAAATATGGAACGCAAATAAAGGGATAAAAGAACAAAAAAGGAATAGAAAAAAATAGAGAAAAAATTCATAAAAATTTTGATAAGAGAATCCTAGAACATATGATAAAGAAGGAAATACATAAGTTGCGAAATAGGACATCAAATAGAATTTGGCGTTTAAAAGAAAGAAGAAAAAAAAATGTGGGAAATTAACAAAACAGCTAAAGAACTTGGAAAAAGAAAATGAAAAAAGTAAAAAACTTGAGGAGATGGAAGAAGAAAATTTTTCTAAGAAAGGAATATATATAGAATACCAGGGTTGGGAAAGTTACTTTGTAAAAGTAACTAGTTACAGTTACAGTTATTTCATTGAAAAATAACTAGTTACAGTTACAAGTTACCGATTTTAAAAAATAACTCGTTACAGTTACAGTTACTCTAAAAGTAACGAGTCGTTACTTTTCAGTTACTTTTTAAAAATAATTATATATTGTTTTAAATATAAGGAGCTTACATTTTATGCACAATTACAGTCAAGTATTTAAAAAAATTCTTGAATGTAATATTGATCGATTTGCTTGCGACTTTGCAAACATCAATGTATGAATGACCTTTATATCCAACAGTAAAAATAGTTATAGTAAGTTACTAAATGGTAATCGCAAAGTCGCAAGCAAATCGATCAATTATTACCTTTAAGAATTTTTTTAAATATTTGACTGTGATTGGTCGATCTTAATTATGTGTTATATTATTTTATGTACACAAAATGAAAATTTTAGGTAAAAGATTAAATCATATGAAGATCCATATGCTACTGTTATCAAAATTTAATTTAATAATATAACGGCTACCATACTTAAACAATACTTTTAGCGCATGTTTCCAAAAAAAGTAACTAATAAAGTAACTATTAAAATAGTTACTAGTTACTAAAAAAATGTAACTAATAGCGTTTTCGATTGGGAAAAAGTTAGTGCGCACCAGTGCGCACTCAGTTCACACGAACACTGGACAAGTTCCATGGGTTGCACTGAATAGTGCAGGTGAAAAAGAACACGTCGAAATTTTCAGTGCCACTTGAGTTGACTAGATTCCGGGAAGAACGAAAAAGTAACCTCGACATCTTGTGTTCAGTTAAGTAATGATTTTTATTATATGTAATTAAATATAGAATATGATCAAGAATATCACGTATGACAAATATAAAAATTATTATTATTCAGTATAAAAATGCTATTACATTAAATACATTAATTATATTTTAAAAAAGAGTATAGGTTCGATGTTTATATAAAAAGATATAACACTTACGGTGTCATTATCCATTTTTTTCACTTATTCTACATAATTTACAGTTTTTGGAATTATTCTTCTAGTTCGAAGAGTTGTAATTATTTCTTCTTGCTCGCTTAAACTAGAAAAAGATTCCAAAAATGTCTCCAAAATATTAAAGAGAGCCAAATCCGAATTGCTCATTATGTCGAATTTTCGTTCAAAAGAATGCCCTACTGCTTGCATGCATCCAGTGCACTGAACTGGCACCGTCAAAATATCTCGTGCCACTTAGTGCGCACTGAGTGCGCACTATGCGAGTGTTGTGCGTTCAAACGAACACGCAACACTAGCCAAGTGCGCATTGGCACTACCAATCGAACACGCGCCTGACATTCAGTGCAGCCAGTGCACCCCAATCGAAAACGCTATAAGTTACAGTTACAGTTACAGATGGAGAAAAGTAACGAAGTTAAGTTATAGTTACCGAAAAAAGTAATTGTAACTGTAACTTCGTTACAAGTAACTCGTTACTTCCCAACCCTGTAGAATACAACATAAAAAAAAGGAAGAATGAATTCCAGATTATATTTATTTATTTATTATGAATTTAACGGAGAAGAAAAATTCCCCTTTAGTACAAGACATTAAATCATACAATATATATCACGTAAGAAAACGCAATCAATAATACAATAATATGATCTGCCAATATGAAAAATGAACATGAGAGAATATAGCATATACAATTCCAATATTAATCAGATATAGGTGAATCATTAATGTAACATAAAACAATATAATGATATAGTAAACAAAATCAAATCAATAAATTTTGTATAAACAAAGATCGAATCCCAATTGAAATTAAAATCAAATTACAATCTCCTGCCCAGATACATAATCACGTAACAATTTCTTAAATTCATTTCGTTTCATATGAAAAATATCAAAATGATTGGGCAATTTATTACCCAGTAAGGATAACCGATTTAAAGACTTATTCCTACCAAACGAAGTACGATGAGTACTAACGTTAAATAATTCACAATTTCTTAAAGACCTCCCTGGAACACGAAGCTCAATCCGACACAAAACACTAGAACAAACAATGTAACCATTTAAAACGTTGAAAAGAAAGACTAAAAAGATCCTCCTTCCATTCAATGTAGTTAACTTAAGTTCTGCCAGCATAGGACTATAACAATGATCCGAAAAATGCATTGGCCTATTTAGAAACGCACTAGCTACCCGTAGAAAACGATGTTGAACTCGTTCGATTGAGTCTCGATATTTGGCTTGATAGGGAGCCCAGATAGTGCTTCCATACTCCAGATAAGGTCTGACTAAGGCACAAAATAGTAGTCTCAAAGTGAAGACATTTTAAAAATATTTGCGCGACCGGGAGATGAAGCTAAGGATCTTATAAGCTCGAGAGATAATCCCCCCAATATGTCTGTCAAAAGACAGATCAGAACAAAAAATTATACCCAAATCCCGAACTTCCTCAACATCGGGGAGAGCGTTACCATTGAGGGAATAATTATAATTATATGGATCTCTCCTTCGAGAAAAATGAACAACATGGCATTTGGAGTCATTAAAGTAGAGCAAATTATTTCTACTCCACGAGTTCAACGCGATCAAATCAGCCTGAAGCAAATCAGCATCATTAGAATTATTGACTCAGCGATAAATCTTTATATCATCCGCATACAACAGAAAATTGCTCCTCTTTATAACCCCACCAATATCATTAATAAATAAATTAAATAATAATAGACCCAAATGAGATCCTGGGGAACACCCGAGATGACGCCTATGGTTCCCGAAAGGCCCAATCTGAATCTAACCATTTGAAATCTATTTGATATGAAACTTGCAATCCATTCCAAAAAGTGCCACAAATACACAATGAATTTAACTTATTTATAAGAATTGAATGACTAATCCTATCAAAAGACCTTTCTGAAATCCATATATATGGCGTCAACCTGAGAGCCCTCCTCGAAAGCAGAATTGATAAAGTCGTGATATAACAAAAGATTTGTTGTCGTGGACCGACCCGTAATAAAACCGTGCTGCT